TTTTCTTTGTTGTGGCTAATAAAAAGAATTATAACTAATCTTAATATTAATAATAGATAATGTTGAAGAATGCATTATGGCTGCACAAGACAAGATTATGGAAAATGAGATGAGCTTGGCAAAATTAAAAACATTTCAAGATGAAGCTCACGAAGATATAAATAATGATTTGAAGAAAATTCAAGATCAAATATACGAGGTATTTATAAATAAAAACTAGAAGAATAAGAATTATTATTATTACTATAATTACTATAATTACTATAATTCCAATTGTGATTTATTAATGTAATTATCTTTAAAAAAAAACAGCTTTTAGAAAAACATCGTATAGCTCGTTCAAACATATCCAATCTTAGTGATAATCAATCAAGAACATCTGAACAATTAGACATTATGTTACAAGCTATACATGAATATGCTCGATTAATAGAGGAAGCAAGCTTAACAATCAAAACACATTTTGATGATGTTGGATCAACAATAGATTATAAATCATATGAAACATTAGATTTATCACCGTTTCGTAAACATGAGGTAAAATATTTATTTGAATTTTTTCTCCAATAAAAAAAAGAAAATATAATTAACTTTTTTTTCTTTTTTGTTTTTTTTTATAATTATTGAAAGAGCTCTCGATCTTATTTTGAAGAGCAAATATATCATCATAATAAAAATAATGATAATAATGATGATGATAAAGATAATAGTGATGATGATAATGATAACACTACCGAATATTATCATCATCATCAGTATTATGAGCATCAAGAAATAATAACAACAACCACAACAACCACAAATATTATTAGATCAAAAGAAAACCCACCTTTAACAGAACCACCACAAACACCAGATGTAGCTTCTACCACACCAACAAGTGTAGGCGTTAATTCACCTACAAATCTCCCAACAACACAAGGTGGAGGAGGTTGCACGGGAGATGAAGAAGAGAATAAAAATCAAGAAACAGAACAGGAAAAGGATCAACAGCAGCCAATTCATCCATTACCACGCTATCAAATTAAACATCAAAAACTTTTGCTTATGAGCATGCGTAGAGCAGCTGTTGGGTTAAAATTTTTGTTGTATGCCAATCAATTGAATGATTACAAAAATGGATTTCCAGATGGTGAATGTGATGTAGATTTAGATTTTAATGAGGATTCATCTACCACTGAAGAAGTGGTAACAACTACTACTTATCGAGAAGTTATTCACGACAAAGATACAACAATAAATACGAATAACTGTAATAATAGCAGTAGCAGCAGTAGCAATGGTATTGGTATTGGCAGTATCATTAGTGGTGATAGTCGTTGTGGAATTGGTTGTTTAAATCGTAGTGTTCGTAGTAATATTAGCAGTAATAATAGTTCGTCATCATCATGTACAAGTAGTGACAGTGGATCAGACAGTAACAATAGTGATAATAATGATGACAACAACAATAATGAAAAGAATACAGGAGCAGGAAAAATATGTGTCACGATACGTAAAAGATCGTTAATTGTTCATTCATATGATCTATTAAGATTTGATAAAAGAATGTTGGTCAAACAAAAAAATTGAGCAAAATTTTTTTATCGACATTTAATAAATAACATTAATGCTTTAAAAAAAGTATTGTAACTTTTTTAATACAAATAATATATAATGACATTGAAAAACAATTAGTACATATATCATAAAGATGCACAAATACACTTTCATACATAAAACATACATACACACATAATACATAAATACATACATACACATATATACATAATTTTATACACAATTTTCTTTCACTTCATCACTCTCACTCTTTCAATCAACGAACAAAACTTATCTTGTATTTTTAGTAACTAAAAAATATTTATTTAATAATTCTTGTAAAATATATATATATATATAAATTTGTTAAGATTTATAAAAAATGATAATAAAAAGGGAATTTTCACACTGAGGCAAGACCAAGTGATAATATATATTGTCTGTTTTCACTACTATTATAAAAATTACGGACAATAAAACAACATCCCGTTTGAAAGTTCCGGTGAATGAATATGAAGACACCGAGTAAGTAGAGTATGAAAACTATCAAGAAGGCTACAAGTTTGTATATTGGTGTAATGCTCAAAGAGTCTTGATTCATCATTATTTTGTGTATAGTTTACAACATATCGACATCACAAAGTAGAGATTCTCACAACAGTCCATAATAACAACAGAATTGATCTAAAATTTTTGTTTTTGGAAAGTCCAATAAAGTTTATATGTACATAGTGGATCGTTATAATAAAGTTCACAACTTGGTGTCAATGAATATCACGGATTTTGATGCAGCTACTGACGACATTTATAAATGCCAAGTTCAATTATATAAATTAATCCTTCGGATAACAATTAGTAGTCTTGACATATATCATCTGTCGTTAGGATGTGTAAATCCATTACTAAACCTGAATTCAATTGAAATATTTGAGATATTTCCTGGTTTAAAAGATATATTATTATTATACATATTTATATTTTTACATATTTTTGATAATAAAATAGTGACCAGCACATTATTTGTTGCTTAGTATATAAAATGACCAGCACATTTATTATATAAATAAAGTGTGACCAGCGCATTATTGTTGTTTAGCGTATAAATAAGATTTAAGATCGATTTTTTGATTTCTTAATTCATTTAAATACGATTCTAAATCATCTTTATTAATTACAAGATTCCATTGAATATAACTTAAAAAAGCCCTTTCCTAGAATCATCAAATTTTCAAAAAATAAACTATTGTTATGATAATGATAGTGATATATAATAGTGAGTGAGTGATAATAATAATTTCGCTTACCATTCTATTAATTTCTTTAATTGTCCAAAGATTGTTATCAATCGCCATGGCAACTTTTCCACTTGTCAAAGGTTTGTCATCAATGTATTTACTTGCTATCAGTATAGAGCTGATGAAAATTTTATGAGGTGTATCATTTTCAGTTTTGTAATTTTTTGGCAATTGAAGTTTAAATCTGTGGATGTAAATTAAACTTATGGTCAATGTTATGATTGGTATTTCAAGGTCGTTGATGATTTTTCTAATGAAATCAATTAATTTTGGTAATTTTTGTGATGTTTTTGGTTTGTTGTTGTCCTTAATAATTGAAATTGTCGAAACGAAAATATAATCTGTTTTATTATTTTATTCCATTTACAAAAACAATCCCCATTAATAATTACATAATTATTAATTACTTATAATTTTAAGTAATAATTATTGTTACCTATTAACGATTCGGGGATTGAAGAGAACTTTGTAATCCTAGAAGAAATTCTATCTGGATGTAATTTTTTAAATGTGGAATTATCTTTTGGCAAAATGCATGAACGCAAAGAATTTTCTAAAATTGTGGATGCAATTTTTTTTAAAATGTGAATAATATCTTTGGAAATTTATATATACATGCGAGGTTTGCAAAGAATATTCTTTATACAATTTTCTAAATGTGCAAGCAATGTTTATGAAATTTTTTGTATTCGAAAGAAAATTAATTACTTGGCAAGCACAAATATAGCCAATATCAATATAAAATGAAAATCGATGTACTACGTTACATGTTTCATTATATTAATATACCATTGTTGATAGTGATGGGAATTTTTAACCCTACACTTAATAACTCCAAGTTATTAATAGTTAAGAACCACTTATTAACTGTTGCACTCTGAGTGAGAGTGTATAGAATTCAGCATGTGGAATGTGCTGTGCTAACCAAATTCAGCAGATTTGGGAAAATAATTATCAAATTTGGTTAGGATGCACACTCTACACACTGAATTTTATGCACAGTAATTAACTTGTTTATTTGATTTACCAATGAGATCTGCATGTTTGTGTTTTTAACATTTAATAATAGAGTTATTAAGTACTTAATAACTTGGTCATTTTTCAAAATAATTTTTACGCCCATCACTAATTGTTGGGAGGTTTTTACATTCCGACCGGATTAACATACTAATACCACATTCCGACCGGATTAACATGCACATGTTGAGCGGTTCGGCAAATAATATTTTTTACAAATTTTTTTCTTTTAATTTTCTCCTGGTTGTTTTGTTCTAAAGAAAACCGTTGAGATTTCTATTGTTATTATAGAAATTCTTTGATATTGTTTGGAAAGGGTCCGCTTTTACCAATAACATAATACTGGAAACATTATTTTTAGAATTCAAATATATATGAGTTTTTTTGTATATAAAAAACGCGTTAAAGCTCGATGAAAAAATGAAAAATAAAAAAATAAAAAATAAAAAATAAAAAAAAGTAAAACAATGAGCACACCATTTCCTCCAGAGTTATTAACTAAAGTTTTTGAATACATTGAAGAGGACAAAGGAGCCCTTTTTTCTTGTTGTTTAGTAAATAGGCATTGGCATGAATGCTGTATAAAAATTTTATGGAATAGACCATTTGAATCAGAATGCAGTATTAAAATGTTGATAAACTGTTTAATACACTTTTCAGAACTCGGCATCCTTTTAAGAAAAGATAACGTTCAACTAAACTTCGAACTGTTAGAAAACCCCCCTCTACACAATTACGCAATATTCGTTAAAAGGTTGGCCATTTTTAAGGGACATTTCCAGGATTTAGTATTAGTGAATGAAAACACAAATTTGTTAATTGAAAATTTGGTACCCCTGATATTAAAGAATTCTAATATCGAGGAAATCTATCTAAGTGATTTGACAATCCCTTATCTACCAAATGATTTTCACAACAATGAAGGACTCTACTTTGAAAATATTAAAATATTGCATTACGATAATGCATATTCTCCCAAGTTATTGAAAAAGCTTGTTGGAACTGTTAATAAAATTGAAAAATTAAGTGTTGAAATAAAAAAACCTGACGAGGCTGGTGATGGATTAGGTGAACTGATAAATCAGCAATCTAAATTAAGAATAATGCAACTTCTTGTAGAAAAAGATTGCTCTTTATTTGCAAAAACCTTGGAGGCATTATCGGGTAAATCTGGCTCATTAATAGAATTCAGAGGCTATATTCACACTATGAATGAAATGTTGGAAAAAGGAGCAGAATTCAAAAACATGAAAAGATTGGACCTATTTAATCATTATGATGATGAGAATAATTCAATGGGTTATTTCAAGCATGCTGAATTTCCATCACTTGAAGAATTTCATTTTCAGTTTAATGCTAAAGGTGATATGGATGACCTTATTCAGTTTATTATCCGAAATGGGTCAAATCTAAAAGTTATTGTCATTGAAGGCAATCCTGACGAAATTTTACTTAAACTTTTTATCAAAGAAACCAAAAAAACTTGCAGAAATTTAAAAAGCTTATCACAAGAATAACCATTATTGATTTCTGCTAAAGCTCCAGGCATAGAATTTAATGATTATAGTAATGGATATGATGAGAATGTTAATGATTTTACTGAAGGGTCAGTTTGGTGATTGCTGTCTCATCGAAATCATGAAGTCACAGCCAGTAATTTAATAATAATATATCTTTAACTATGATTTCAAATTACATCACTTTGTGTTTGATGCAAGGATGTGTCAAGGATCTTCTTGATCTTTATAATTTTTCAGATATTCAAAATTCAATATCAGCTACTAATAATTCATCATCAACATCATTAAAAAAAGATAAAAACATTAGCAATTATTTTATTATGATCACGATAATGATAATGAGCATAAACATGACCATCAAGAGTCCAGCTATGTGAGGAATAAATATAGTATGCCTGATTTCAATAATGGTTATTCTTGTGATGTAAGATTTGAATCAATAGCAAAAAAACTAGAGCCTGATTTAGAGTCACCATGTGGTTTGCTTGATAAGAATGATGATGTTGTTGTTGAAGACTATGAAGTGGACGAAGATGGACAAATTTTTGAAGAAGATGATGAATGTGATGGCGAGGGTGTAATAAATGATCAAATTGAAGAAATTAGTAATGAAAGATTAGATGATGTGAAGAATATATTGGAGTTGATGATTATGAAATTGGAGTTAACAAGAACATTCGTGATAATGAAATGTAAAAGGTGATGGTGAAATAGAACAATTTGATGTTGATAATGATGACAATAATAATTATAACAATGAAAATGAAGAAGACAACAATGATGGTGGTGATAGTACGACTGTTGATTATTAGAATTGGATACTATCATCATCATTAATGGATATTTTTAAAACAATTGTCCTTTACTTTTTTATTTAGATAACATTATACAAACTTTTTTTATATACATAGCATTGCATTAACGCTTATTAATATTCTAAAAAGTCCCAGAGTGACGTAAAGCTATTCATTTTTGAAAATAGTTATTAATAGATGGCTTCAAAAAATTAATTTTTAAGGAGAAAAAATCATGTAACCATTGTAAATGACAAAAATGTCAAGTGAATAATAAATGAATGAAGCGAGACCATTGTACGGAATTTTACTTGGCATGCCTAAATCACATGTTACGAGATAAAAATAACCATGATTTTAATAATAATATTCAATACCATTCAAATTTCTCACAAAAATTTTTTTCATCTGTTTCTGTTTTCCGATGCTGCTTGTAATGACAACAACGCTACCGTTTCTTTGCTATCTTTTTTATTTATTCGAAACCAAACCCCAACTTCCCTTCTTATATACATTAATTTTAATTTCCTGGTGCATTGAAAATGCCTTCTTGTGCCAAGTTTTAGATTCTGAACCAAAATTTGTAGCTAAAGCATCACGTGAAATTTGTCCTTTTTTTTTGATCTATCCACTTTGGAAAAAGGTTGCGTTCAAGAAACACGCTGCTGCCATTTATTACAATTAATAATGGTGCATGTGTATAAACAAATCCTGCGATGCAATACTATTAATATAAAAATCATACGATTCGCTGATCAATTTAAAATAGATTTTTCTATTACCTTTGAAAATCGTACCATATAGTGAGTGAATCATTGTGCTCAAGTCAGTGGGATGATTCTTTAAAAAGATTGTAATTCGCTTTTGGGAGGTTGATTAAGCTAAACCAACACCTAGCGATCTAAACAATCTTCCCCTTGATCATCTTCTAGAAAACCGAAAGCTCTTGGGTCAGAATTTTGATTAAAAAAATATCGGTGTTGTGTATTGGACATATAACAAATAAATGTTCAGGATCGGTAATATTGATATTAATATAAAAAATATTTACGAGAAAATTAGATATATCATATCACGTTAGAGTTTGGCATATTGAAAAACTTTTAAAAATTAAAAAGGCAATCAATTTCATTCCTCGAATGATTTAGAAGAAAAACTGGTTGATTTTCATTCCTCGAATGATTTTAGGAAGAAAAAATGGTTAATTTTTCATTCCTCAACGGTATTAAATCAAATGAGAAATACCCGAAAGATTACAATATAACGTCGCCTCATATCGACGGGTTATACCTAAGCCACCACTTGAAATTAAGGCTGGTAATCGAGGACTTAAATTTTCAGTGGTTAAAGAGAATAGAGACGCTGGCATCATTTCTCTTGGTCTAAGAATGAGAACTTTCATGACCGGATACAAACAAAGTTGTGAGGTTATAGAACGGGGAAAGTAGAACGAATCATTTATGCTCGCACTATATTCATGGAAGCATGGAAGATATAAGCGTTGATGCATGCTCCAAATCGACAAGGAAATTTATAATCTTACGGATCATTGAAAATTGCAAATTGTTGTGTGAAAACCATCGTTTAGTTTTATTTCCCGAGTTTAAGCACATGGCCAAAAATGACGATGGCTTTAAAAAATCCAATCTAAAATTGCAAGACAAGTGTTGACCTGTCACATTCCCGATTTACATTGCTCCATGGCGCAAGATGGTGATCATCTACACTGCTGTGGCCCCTCAAAGACTTTTACAAACCATTTATAGAGATATTAAACGAACCCGTAATATACTTTTTAAAGTACATTATGAAACACAAATAAAGAGTCGCTTATAACGTTTGTGCTTACCGAGACATCTTGCCGTTATATGTAAGGTTTGTACTTGGTCTATTAGTGGTATTTTTCTATAAAGGAATTAAATTTGTGTAATAAAAAAAAGTTGTAAATGCAGAAAATTTTCTTTTTTTTGAATTGTACAACGATCTTTCTAGTCAAGTGATTTGACTTTTTATTTGTGGCTTGTAAAAAGTTTCCTATTTCTCATTCACATCATTGACTTCTTTTTTAGTTTATATTTTATCATTCTTTTTTAGTTTATATTTTATCATTCTTTTTTAGTTTATATTTTTATCCATTTTTTTTTATTTTCCGCCATGATTTTTCTAACACATAAAAAAAATGCATGCATTTACAATAATAAATGATATAAAGTCCTTGCTTATCTTAATGATCTATCAATAAAATTTTCAATGCATGATCTTTGTTGTTGCAACACCCCTTTACTTTTTTTATACACGTCCATCCCTAACATTAATATTAATGGTTTTTTTTTATTGTGGTACCTTCATTAAATAAATAAAAGATTTGTAAACTCTGCGGTTTGTTTTTATTATTTATGCATGTACTTTAAAATTGTTATATAAGACAAAAAAAAATTTTTTATTTATTTATTTATCATAATCATCTCATCATCATTCATTTCATTCGTTTTCTTTTTAATAAAGTGTTTTCAAAGAAAAAAATATTCCTTTAATTTATTACAAACAAAAAACACGCGTTAGTCAACTTTTTTTATTATAAAAGCCATTATTTTAAACCATATATCTCTGAACATCCAATACTCGCCCAATCTAAAACTAATTGCTGAACCAAAAAATTTATTCAATCTAGTTTGTTGGTTAGTTAATTGGCAGTTAGGGGGCTTTTTTCGGCTGGTTGATTAGCTAGTTATCTAGTTGACCTTTTAGTTCATTAATTTGACTAAAAACTTTTCGCTAGCCAATTTGCTAGCTTGTTATTCAACATTTTATACATAAGGGAGAAAAGAAAGAAACGCTAACTTTTTTGAAAGTTTCGTTTTTTTTTACTACCAAGTCAAGTCTACAAATGCTGTAAAAAATAGGAAAAAATTTTCTTATATAGACACTCGCTTACAACCCTATTATTATTATCATTATAAATTCGTATTTATAATAATAAAAATAAAACAATAACAAAACCTTCAGTAGAATAAGTAGAATAAACAATTAATAGAGATTGCATATCACTGGATATTTATAATATATATATATATATATATATATATATAAATAAATATATATTTTGTCTTTTTGAACAAAAAATGGGAAAACGTTCCTCAGTACTTTCAATAAAAATTCCTGAAAACCGATATTTCTTTAATACAATGTCAAAGG